TTGACACTATTCCTAGTCCTCTTACAAGTTACAGGGAGAGTGGCAAAGATTGTGCTGTTTCTGTGAGAAATCCTCAGGTCGAGGAGCTCTCAGACTATGGACACCGGCTACTGACTCACCTTCGCCAGGCAGATGGGGTTTGGACTTTCGGGTGTTCGCTTCAAACTCTTCTATTGCACTTACAGCTGGACAATCAAGAGCTGGTGCGGTGTATGTGTTGGGTACGTATCTCAGATGGCTCTCCTGACGAAATTTGTTGCGGGTTAAATTGCTACGGGACATGACAATGGTGTCATCAGTCACGGATGCTGCAGTCTCGTACCGACTCCCATTGCCGAGCACACTTGATTAGCTTTCCTGCCGAAGGAATCGTCCAGTAGGACCTGCTAATCAAAGCCCCGAATGTGCAAGAATATCAGCGACCTGTCATAATGTGGAAAGTGCAAGAGCTTTGGAGAAGCTTCGACACAAGAGCCACACTGCGACAAAAGGCCTCGCGAGCCCGCTGGCCTGGCCAAACTCGTGTGACCTTTTCGTAGGTGATCGGGGGCACTGGGCGAGTATGCGTGCGTTCAAGATCGCCACAGCTCTGGCATACCATGCGGCTTTGTGAACTGCACTATTCTGCCAACGGAGATCATCGGCTGAAGCACAGAGAACAGAGCGAAGTGCAATATTTGGGGCTGTATGACGTTGAACCTACTGTTGCAGTGAGCTTGCAGAAGGTGCAGGCCTTGCAGTCGGTCGCGCACCAAATGGCGACTTTCGAGCCGATTGGGGACACAGAGACTTGGATCCGACGAGGGTTTCAGAGGTTTCTTCCGGCAGAAGGGTTCTGTCATACACGATTCGATACGATTCGTCTACGCCTACGCCCGTCACTATTCACTCAGCTTCTAGCGCACTGATGCGTGTGCCATGGCGAACGCAGAATGAAACCCCAACAGAGACCTCAACAGCCCAAACCAAGATCCTCCTTGTCCACAGGACGCGCTCCGCCGCGGTAGCTCCATGAACTTCTCACAGCAGCACCTTGGATCACCTTGGACATTTTGGACTGTGCCCGCGGTCGAGCAAGAATGAAGCAGTTTCTGGCTTTGGCTTGGGGGTTTGGTTTGCATGGTGTAGTTGGGATGTGTGATTTCGAGATGGGAGCTGGTTGAAGTTTAGGGTAGGCTACAAAAGCTGCATGAACTGCTATGCAGGATGGTCAGCTTCAACCCATCTAAACGAATCTGCGCCTGAAAGCCTGAAAGCTCAAGCTTTACCCGGCCAAGGTTCGGCTTGGTTTCTGAACACGGTTCTTACGGATGGGTTTCGATAAAACGGCTCGCAGGGGTTTAACAAGTCATTCCAGGGAGTCAGTCACAAGTCCACGCTTTCCAGCGTTCGGAGGGCAATGTTGGCCCGACTCAACCTCCTCAACTCCGTCTGACCTCCAGGAACTTGAACTGAGGTGTGCCGAAATGGGACTTAAGCTTCCAAGCGCCTAAGCCTGTGTGCCCTGTGAGCCACTGTGAGCCCCTTGGCGAGCCCAGGCTCATGGTGGATTTGCGGGCGATCAAGGACCGGGCCTCTATTCGTTCCGAACTAATTGGCACCTGCAAACCCCGTGAAAGTTTCAGACGTTTTGGGTCCGGTGAAGGGTGAGGGCATGGAGTTTAGTTCATCTTTTGCTGGGATCTACACAGGCGCCCAAGCCCGGTGTAGAGTGATGCCACTCGGGATGCGAGGGGCTTGGGCTTCGGGGCGAACGTCTCAAACCACTGTAGGGCACCCAAACTGCAGATTTGTGGCTGGCCTCCATGCTCACAGCATGATAGCTGCCGTGCTAGCATCGAGAGCTGCAGGAAAACAGAAAGCACCCAATGCCGCTCCTGCCGCAAGACAGGCGGGATTGTTTTGTGGCAGGCTTCAAAATTTGGATGCTTGGGGGTCCGTGTGAATGTAACAGGTGCAACTAATAGAGGTAACTACACATTGCCCGCACGTTCCGTGGTGTCTGATGAGGGATTTGGAGGTTCTGGCTAGTTTAAGACGTGCTAAAGGCAGAAGCCTTTGGCCCCGCTCGCACCACGTTTCCCCTTCCTTGACCGTGAGAGTTGTTCATTTGGGGTCTCCTGCGCGGCTGGAGGTACAGGAGGACACCCAATAAAGACTAAGAGAGATTGCCGATGGCAGACAACGGGACGCCCGTGAAAACCGGGGATGTTCCCCACAGACAGAGACCCACTTGGCCGGAGAAGAAGAAGCAGAAGCAGAAGAAGAAGAAGAAGAAGAAGAAGAAGAAGAAGAAGAAGAAGAAGAAGAAGAAGAAGAAGAAGAAGAAGAAGAAGAAGAAGAAGAAGAAGAAGACGAAGAAGAATAATAATGAGAATAAGACGAATAAGAATAAGAAGAATAAGAAGTGAGAGGAAGGAAGGAAAAGACCAAACACAAGAGAGAGAAGGAACCATTGCCAGAGTTGGTACTTCGCATAATCATCCTCGCAGCTTGCAAGACAAGGTCACCAGGTCACCAAAGCGAGGGGGCGTGGTAACAACGCTGTGTAATTTTCCTCGCGAGAAGGTGAGCCACTTTTCTCCAACAACCAGGTCAGTCAAGTGCTAACTGGGAGACCTTGTAGCCTCACCTTTTCTGAGAGTGTTTTCTTACATCTTCCCACCCCAGTGTTCGCTGTTCTGACCTGACAAGCACCAAAGTTGGTTGTTCCGTCTAACCCATTATGCACGCCTTCGGGCCAATGGGGAGAAGTTAGGTGCGCAGAAAGAGAAAGAAAGATAGAGACGGAGACGGAGAGAGAGACGGAGACACAGACGGAGACAGAGACAGAGACAAGGGCGGCCCACCTTTATTCCGGCGGGCCAAGGCTGCTGAAGGAAGGCAGGAAGGCAAAGAGAGAACAGAAAGAACGAAGTGCATGATACAGCAAATGCAGTACCCAGGAAAGCAAAACAATCAATACAGCACCAGGGGAATCAAGGAGTGAATGAAAAGCGATCGCGTGCCACTTTGGGGGCCGACCACGGCTTGTTCTTTTAGCCAAGATGGCGAAGCAGGAACAAATGCAGGACATAAAGAAAGGATAATGACAGAACAGAGTCACGACATAGTGACACAACAAAGACAACGAACGAACAAATAGCACGAAACGCAGGACAGCACGAGAGACATACGAGCATTGTGTTTACAGATTGGGGGGTGGGGGCTGAACATTTGCAAAACCTCAAGCAGAAAGTTGTAGGAAAATTAAAAGCCTATAGGCCCTCAAAACGAGTTGCTTCAAAACCCATGCAAATCCTTTGCAAACCCCGTCATACGAGCATCGCTTGCATCTCTCCCCGCCCTTTTGTTTTGAGCCGTGCGATCTTGCATCAATCAAGCCATCCAGAGGAGTTTCCGTGTTGAAAGCATGCAAGCCCTGTCGGTTATCCGAGCATTTATGTTTGTAAATGTGAGCATTCGCTCCGTCACGAGGAGTTGCTTCCGCCACCCCTCCTTTAGCCAAATCCTGGGCTCCAGACCCCAAAGCCTTCAAAGGCCCTTATATAAATACATATATATATATCTATATATCATACCGTTATAATATATATATATATATATATATATATATATGTATAAACCCTGAAACCGCAAGGCGTTCTTGCAAACTGCACAAGCCAGGAGTCCAAAGGCTGACGAAGATGCGGGCATTTCTTCAAAGGCGTTGCGTTGGTCAAGGGGATGTGGCGCTAGCACAGAGGATGCATTGAAACAGGAGTAAGGCACATGCGGGCCAACAAATAAGGGAGTTGCCGGGTCGCCTTAAATCTTCATTGCTGCGCCTTTGGCCGTCCGCACAGCAAAGCGCCCTCCAATGCCCTACACTCATGCTCTTTGCCTGCTGCTCCCCTGTTGCAGGAGCTAGGCCTGGTGCGCAATGAGAGCTGGTCCGAGCGACTTGGAATATCTTGGCGTGGAAGTTTGGCGTGCGAATAGACTCTTTGCGACGTTGCGGAAGCCTGAGCATTGCATTGGACCCCTGGACTCCGAGCAAAAAGCCCTCTGAGTCCAAACAGGATCCTCAATCCTACTCGGGATCCACTGCCCCAAGGAGCAGCTCCAGCATCCTGTCTGGAACCGACCCCGCTTTGGACATCGTCCCGGCGGCTAGCCCGGAGCTAGCGGGGATACAACATGCAAAGACCCTCATGAGAGTAAATAGGAGGAGAGGCATGAGGCATGAGAACCAGGTACGGTGACGGCGCTGGATGAGAAACGACGTTACCAGGTATAAAGTATAAAGCACAACTCAGCTATTGTGCTTTCCTCATTTGGGTGTTGATCTAAAGGTCCTTGTAAGGAATCTATACTGTGAGCGTCCGCGAAACATGAGCGATGGAGTGCCAAAGGAAATTGGTCCAGCTCAAGAATCCCCCAAAAACTCCGCGCAAGTCGTGTGACATATCCCTGGAAAGACCTAGCCCTCCATGGACCTCCAAGCACTGCCTGCCTGAGTTTTACCTTAACACTCGACCCTAAACTGAGTACTTACATTCGTAGACACAAAACAAACTCCATTCCTCGTGCTAAAGCGCAGGAGGACGCTATTGTGTTGCGAAAGATGCATTTCCGGGACAAAGCAGTTCAGATCAACTGCGGTTACTATTTGCCGTTCAGCCTCATAAGTTGTTCAGAGGAGGGGCGCAGGAAAATGTTTGCAGGCGAGAGGCACTGAGTCTCACGAGGCACCCAGCCTGAGAATAAATTTGAAATTAAGGTCCCACAGCCCCCATCAACTTGCAGCTTTGAGCCCGCCGCCCTATATGCCCTCGGCCCTGACCCCTTCAAGGAGAGAAACTTGTCTGGCTGAAATCCCCGATGTTTCAAACTGCTGTTCAGTGCCGTTGTCGAAACAAACGCAACCCGCGACCCGGACCAAAGCCCCCGGACCTTGACCCGCCACGGGAGTTCAGTTTTTGCATGTTGTCTACGCTCAAGCGAGTTTGCAAAAACCGATGTTGCCGTGCCTCTGCAGTGCTTCTAGTGTGGCCCAACATTGCAAAAAGGGCATGAATCACGTGCCAGAGTCACAGCACATCACAACAGTCAACAGCAGTGCGAAACGACAGGAACGTCCGGAAGAGGACGCATCGCAACAGTCGAAACATGCTCCCAGGACTTGCAACTTGACTTTTGACTGTCTTGACTTCAACTTGACATATAGTCATATCATATCCGCAAGAACAGTCAGACTCATAGACTCATCGTTTGAGGCCCCTAAGTCACTGAGGCTCGAGGCGGCCGCAGACGAAGCTCTGAGGTGGAGGCAGGTGAAGTTCGACCGTTGGCAGTTTCGCGGGGCGTTTCAGGCTGGTACCCTGTGACGTCCAGATACTTCTAGGCCATGGGTTCCTAGATCCTATTCAGCCTTCTGAACCTGCGATCCGATAGTCCAGGTGGCACTGATCACCATGCAGGATGGTCACAAAGCAAGCCACGAAGTTCAGACTCACTTCCATTCACTGCCTTGAGAGGCCAGAGGCATAGGTCGCGGGATGTTGTAGACCTCCAGGAGGGGCACTCTGAGCGGATTGCTGCCAGGTAGCTGATTTGGGCCAGGTTGCGCTGAAGGACGCGAAGCAGCATGAGCATAGCAGGATGGGGCCTTCCTCGGGTCAAATTCAAGCAGAATTTAAATCGTTCGATGGCCTTGACGCCTTGGTGTGACAAGTACGGATGAGGATGGTAAAGTCATGTAAAGTCAGCGGCTCTCAAGTAAGCCGTGCGGACTTTCGCCTCCCAAAAGTTCCCTGGGGTATCGCGCGGACGCATCCAAGGAGAGCCCCCGAAGGGGAAGCGTGGAGTCGACGCAGGGGCCTGGCCGAGGCATGGCCCAATGGTTCGTCGCTTTTTTTTTTTTTGTTTTTTGAGTTTTTTTGGTTGCTTGATTTGGCCTGAGGGCTTCGCCTCGGAGTAGTGACGTCCAGCATCAGCCGCAAGGCATGCCTTCTTTCCTCCCTCTCCGCTTTGCCGGAGACTGGTCTGCGAAGCGGGAGGTGCCTCGCTGCACGTGGGGGCTTAAAGGGCTTTCGGGGGCTCTGCAGTGGTAGACGGCCATCTCCCTTTCGGTGCGTTAGCACGGCGAGCTTACCATGAAAGCCATGCAAGCCCATCCCTCTTCCATCCCTGCAGCCTGCGGCTTCCCTGGTGCCGGGGCTAGACCGGCTGGAGCCAGAGGATATGGAGGACGGTTGTAACCTTCCCTGCTGGAGCCCTCTCAACTTGCTGGCCACTGTGCCATCCATGTCTCCGGCATGTAGGAGGTGCTTTGACTATCTTTGACTGCGTCCACGCCTGAAAGCTCATGTTAAAACACTAACGCATTCGGGTTGTCATCAGGCTTCGGGTTGGTGCCCAAAGTTTGACCGCTGCGCAAGGACGAGTTCCAAGACGAGTCAGACGAAGCGTAGCGCAGCTCGGAATGCCATGTAGGTGATGTAGGTTGGATTTAGGGGTTAGGGCTTAGGGACACTTGTCCAAAGCGCTTTGTCTTCTTCCTGGCCAGTATTTCCATGAGTTTGAAATTGCATAAACACCCAATGGACTTAATGGACCATAACTCCTTAAACATCTGTCCATAGTCACTGTTGTCCTGGGTGTTGCTGTTAGAGTTTCAGGTTTACAGACCTGTAGGGTTTGAAAGGTGGGGTTTATTAGACATGTTCAGGGATGCTTCGAGTTTAAGGAACCCTGGCTTGGGTTTTTTGAAGCTTCTGCTGCAGTCTTCGGGTCTAAAACCGAAATTAGCACATCCAGCTGTTCCGACACGCCCGTTGCCTGCCCCAAGCGCGTGTAACCGACTTAGCCGTCATCCCAAGGCGAACACCCAGAGCTGAGTTGTTCATGCAAGGCACACCAAGGAACTTGAAAAATCTCAGGAGGCCAGGTGCCGGAAAACCCGACAGGATGAATGCAGTACAGACTTAGAAAGTCATGGCAAGTCTGTTTGCAGAAACATACCCAGAAAGCCACCGGCCTTTGAGCAGGCAAAGCCCGCTCCAGCCGCAGGCAAAGTTGTCCGTTCAGGTTTCGTGTGCTTCAAGCTACGCGGGACCATGCTGTGAGATGTTACTGAGAGCGTCAAGAACAGGGGTCCGGGTAGTGCAGACTGGGTGGTGCTGCCTGGCGTCAGGTTTTCAAAGCGAAGCCTCGTCAACGTGAGCCTGGCCCGGGAACGCAAGCAGTGAATGCATGCATGACAGTGTACATATGACGGACTTCCCAGCCACAAGTTCTGGGCCCAGCTGCCCCTAATGCACCCTGATCGTATCTGACCGTAAACCCTGGGTCTCCCGCAACTCCTTGCCTGAACATCCGAAAGTGACCCCGGCATTAACTACTGTATGAGTCAAAAGGTGAAAAGGCCATTGGCTATTGAGAAGGCCGCTGCAATCTGCCGCGGACTGTGCTCCACCCAAGACGGGTGAAAGCGTGGTGAGAATACGGCCCAAGCGGCCCCTTTACACAGTGTTTGGGGCGCGTATGAGGTGAATGAAGCACAGGGACCATCCATTTTTTCCCACGATGGTTGGCAGCGTTAGTCGCAGGATTCTCTTAGAGCCGCATTGCAGCTGACAGTCGCGCCACGCCTGTGGCAAGTTACATCTGGGTGGTGTGCCGATGGAAACGTGACTTAGCAGTTTTACCAGAAAATCCGAGAGGCAAAATGTCAGCGACGGCACATCCCAAGAGAGGAGGGTCTAGACTTAAGGAGGTGACCAGAAACATGAGCATTTGGACACAGACACCATGAAGTGATTTTCAAGCTGCCGAAGGATGTTTCTTTTTCCCAAAAGACAGCACATCTCGGATGTTGGGTTACAACGCGAGACCGCGATACTTTTTGAATGGTGCGGGGAATCAATGTTTCCGTGAGTCGGCAGGACAGGAATCGCACAGGGAATCCATGTTTCCGTGAGCCGGGAGGACAGGGCCGGAGGGACGGATACTGCGTGAATGGCCCAGGCGAGCCGGGAGGATTGTCGCTGAATTGCAGTGCAAGTTTAATTCTGATATCGATGGTTCCGTGGGGTGGGAGGATAGGGCTGGAGGGACGCTGATGCCGCATGAGTGGCATCGCGCAGGGACGGAGGATGTTCGTTGATGGAATCGATGTTTCCTTGAGCCGGGAGGACAGGGCTTGACGAGATACAGCGTGCGTGGTGCGTCAATGGTGGCGCAGGAGGCCGCGAGGATTTTCGTGTATAAAAGTAGTTATAAGACTGTGGAATCAATGTTTCCGTGAGCCGGGAGGACAAGGCCGAAGGGACGCGATACGGCGTGAAGGGAGGGCTTCACTGAATTGTAGTACAAGCTTAGGACTGGAATCGATGTTTCCGTTGGCCGGAGAACGTTCGCTGAGCTGTAGTACAAGTGTATGGTACTGGAAGCGAGGTTTCCGTCAGCCGTCTTTGTTGAGTTTTGGTTCCTAGGTGTTGCTCCGGGGTCCCAAGGGGGGCCAGCCCCGAGCCTGGAACCCCGGCAGCACTCGGCTGCTGGTTCGAATAACGAGTTCCAAGTCCGATGATTCCTTGCACCTTGTACGATTTCGCCTGCAGAGTTTGTTAGTAGCCTCAGCAAGCTGATTCGGTCTTGCGCCTTGCGCCGACATGCTTCGCCGTCTGATCCTGAGTGTTTAGGTGAGAAGGCCAGGGAGTGTCAAGGCCAGGGTCCTCTCGACGTTTCAGGCAGAGGCCGGACAGCATTGCAACTAGCTCGTGGAGTCTGGGGTTACCTGATGACCTGCAGCCCTACGATGTCGTCGGCTGCAAAGTGCAGCTCTCCAAACCCGACGATTCACCCAAATATAGTCTCTTTCATGGATCAGGTGATCAGGGTCCTTTTGAACTCTGGGATAGAAGTCGGAGCCAGTCGAACATGATGCTTGCAAAGCAACGCCTCATGGAGACAATGCCTGGTTGTTGAGAAAAGGCGAGATGAGCTTAACCACTTTCGCCGTGCCATGGGGCCACATGATTTAGCGTGACATGGCTGAGCATCAAGAACCCTAAACCCTCGTTTCTCGTTCTTTTCAACAGTTGCTTCCCGCAGCGTCGAAGGTAGAACGTACTCCCCTTCCCCCACCTTTCCGGTTCTCCATGTGCTGGCCATGGCTGGGAAATATGGTAATGTGCTGCGCATCTGAATAGCGGAGTCGGCCATAGATGCACACCAAGAAGAAGTCAGCCGCTATCCGGTCCTTGTCAGCAGCGTCAGCATCCATGACACACTTTTCAAGCACGATAACCTGGGCCACAGTCAGCGGATCCCGCTGCCGGAGAGCTCGCTTGCGCTTGAAATGCTCAGCCCTGACACCACGAACTCTACCAGAATCCAGCACTGCCTTCACGCAATACAGACCCAACGCATGCATCGCAAAAGACATGGCAACCAAGCATGACTGCAAATGCGTGGGCGCAGTAGATGGCCCACATCCCTGAAGTACGCGTAGACCATCTCCTCTTGCAAAGGCCAGGGGTCATGACCCTGGGCGTGCCAGAAACTGCTGTAACGCAGCAGTGGCCCTGCGCGAACGTGTAGGGTCGCAGTAGCCTTGTTGGGCTTTCCCTCCCACCCACCTCGAACCTGCACGTTACGGGGAAGAGGAACAGTTCAGCCAATAGACAAACAAGGCAAACCAGTCTGTCAAGACCCTGTCGGCTCACGACCGGTCGCCTGCCACTCCCTGCCCTAAATCTTTTAAGAGCTATTGAGCAAGTCAACTGCAGCCGTTGGCTTGCTAATGACACCTTAACGTCCAGGCCATGATTGTACCGTCGTGAGGTCAGTCACGCACAGGCTATCTCTAACAGGGAGGGATGGGGGAGGGGGATGTGATGATGCCCATCATGCTTCTGATCTGGTGCTCATGTTGCTTGCGCACAAAAAACGGGCCATTTTCGGCCCCTCCGCACGGTACATAGCCCTGCGATGCCGTTGGGCACTTATTTGCCCAGCGATGTTTTGCTTCTTCTAGAAATTGCCCTTGTATACGTTTCCCGAGCCCAAACCCCCGGTTAAGTTTTATATATCGTTTTGAATGGGGGGCCCGTGGAAGGGTGTCGGGTCCCAATAGGGGCTCACACCTGGGCCTGGGGTTCCCTCTAGCCCAGGCCATCATGTTGTACTTGTGTTTTGCCATCTGTAACTTCATCCAGAGTCCTTCATTCATCTAGTTCGGCCTGGGCAGGGGGGGCTCTACTGTAACTAGATATAAAAAACTTGTCCTGTCAACTCAATGCCGTAAGTCGTATAAAATGTCGTTTTGTTAAAAAACGGGTGAGCCCAGCCTGGTGAGGCCCTGGGCCACCCCCCGGCAAGCGGCACCGGGAGACCAAAACGCGCACGAGGTCTCTATAAGATACATCTTCTAGTCGGCATTGAAAGGACACCCTAATCCCCAATTACCCTAAGTAGAAAGTGTTCTGATGCTCATCTGCTCGCGAGTGCTTGCAAGGGTTTAGGATTCTTTTCAGACGTCCCGCATGGTGGTGTGCGCGGAGCATGTGACGCACCTCATACCCTACTAACCGTTACTAACCTCCAAACCCTCAACCAGAAACCCTTCCTCTGTGGTCCGACGCAGACATCATACTTTGAGTTCCCTGCTTTGGGCCGACGCAGTGCGCAGTCTTTGAATAGCGGCCCTGTTAATGCCAAGCGCCAAAGTTGGAACATGCTCGCTCGACCTCATCCCCCCTTGATCAGGCATTAAACAAGGGTTTTGTCCTGGAAAGCTCCTCTCCAGGGGCATATTCGCTTGCGATGAGAACGCAGGGACACCAAAGAACATCCATCGGAACAAAGTTGCTCAGCAGAAAAATCCATCGGGTCGAAGCTGCTCAGGAGAAAAATCCATCGGATCAAAGGTGCTCAGCAGACAAAGCCAGAGACATCCAGAGACATCTAGCCAGCAGTGTTCAAACTTACGTCCGCGATATGGAGATGGCAACTGCTTGTTCACAGCAGCGGCCGTTGGCAACATGGCGGTGCTGGAAGGCAGGCCCCTCCCAAATGATGACTTGGCCGGCAATTGGGGGCGCTTGAACAGGGCTTGCCAACTCCGCTGGATGAGGGCAAGGGTCGGGTTGCTTGTTTGGGGTTGGGTTGGCAATGCGCAAGAATGATGATACATCACGGCAACACAGAAGTTTGCATAGGCCAGCACGTCAACCGCTACAGTGTTGAGCCTTTGAGTTCGAATAGCCAACCCCGCAAGAAAACCGCTTAATATTCGTGCCAACTCCTCTGCACTCCCAACTCCACAGAAAATGTCCAATTCGCGAAGCAGCCGACAAGGGCATCTTGCCTGATGGCCCCAAGTTGGCGGATGCAATCTTGGCAGCAAGCGATTTAAAGCCACATGTTTACTTCCAAAAGATGGAAGGAACACTATTCGCTTGACGACAGTTCCTCATGGGGCGGCTCCCTGGAAGTGGAAGTTATGGGGTTGCGCTGGGGATGTCCCACAGCGGACTGCGCAACACACAGAAACGTCAGCGCACATGTCCTGAAACATTTTGGCGCTGTTTATACATGCCTACCTGACACCATGCAAGCAAGAATGCAACCGGCGGCTAGCCTCAATACGCATGTACTGGACCCAGAGCACAAGCGGCCTACGCATAGCGGACTGCACACGTGCAGAAAAATCAGCACACAACTGACGTAACAAAATGGCGTTGTTTGCACACGCCTACCTGACATCATGCAAGAATGCACCCGGCTTCTTTCTCGACACACATGTTTACAGCACAAGTTGCCGATGCATTGCGAACTGCGCAACGTACAGAAAAATCAGCACACCAGCCCCGTAACAAATTGCGTTGCTTTCAATCATGCCCCACAGCATGCAAGCAGAACGCAACTCAACGCACCACGCGGTCGGCCCACAGCGGACTGCGCAACACACAGAAACGTCAGCGCACAAGTCCTGAAACATTTTGGCGCTGTTTATACATGCCTACCTGACACCATGCAAGCAAGAATGCAACGCTGCGAACCTCAACACACAAGTACTGGACCTAGAGCACAAGCTGACTACGTCCTGCGGACTGCGCAGCGTGCAGAGTAATCAGCACACAACTGATGTAACAAAATGACGTTGTCTTCACACACCTACCTGACACACGCAAGCATGAGTGCACGTGGCCTCAATATACATGTGTTCGATTGTGTTGGACCCAAAACGAAGGACAGGCAACCAACAAACGGATACGAAAACAAAAACACGCACGTCCTGTAACAAAATGGCGCTGTTTTTGCAATCGCACTGTGGACATGCGAACTCAGAACCAACAAGTCTCCAGGCAACACGAACGGCATGAACAAGGTGAGGCTGTTTCGAAATGTTCACGACATCTAATACAAAATCGCCCCCACACAGAGGAGCCACTACCAAAAAGCAGCCGTCCCGCTCAGACCAACCAGCGGCCGTCGGCTCCATCCGTAAGATCTGAAAAGTGAGACGTAGCTCCATCAATAGAAGTGCCACCTGAAGTAGCTTTTCGATGACTCGTTTGCCGGCAGTAAACCCAGCCACATGCACATACAGGGCGGGAACTCTGATAACCGCCATGCTTTCTTGCAGGCAGAAGGGACCCATCCAAAGCCACACGCCCTTCATGGTCATTGCTAGGAACCCTCATATTCGATGTCGGAAATTTCAACCGAGCATAAAAGCCCAAACTGGGAAGATCATCACTGCCAAACCAACTTGGTCGTATTTTGGCCTCCACTAGTATGGATGCCAAGTCATGCGAGTTTGTATTGTGCGCAAAAGGCACAGCAAACAATGTCTGGTTCTGAGACGGATACGACCGGCGAAGAACAAGTACAATGCCCATCAATGACTGTCTTAGCAGCAGCCAGCGTTTTTGCCAGATGCCAAATTTGAATGTTCGCTTCTTCCGATATCGTGAACACCATCTGCGATTGTCGGTTGGTAGACTGAACCAACGCAGCAAACCAGACATTCACATCAGAATCGCTTGGCGGATAGTGGAAATCCGAATGCGGAAGAAAACGCCCCCAGGCCTCTGCTGCTGACCGCAACCTATTGGGGTCCTGCACAATCCTGGACCGGAGACGCAAAAGAATCTCCAGTAATGCACTCCAATGCTGTCGTTTCATATCTTGCCAAGGAGAATCATACACCTCCAGTCCTGCAGCAGCGGAAAGGGTGAACGCTTGTGACATGAACCGGCGTAAGACATCCAACGAGCCACCCTGGGGCGATGGGCAATCTGAATGCGATGGGCAATCTCAATGCATGCGGTGCCAGATTGTGTTCATGTTTGGAACCTGAAGACACGACCATGGAAGTTCCCACGTGCCCGGGGGAATCGCGTCATTAAGACTGCGGGGTCTCCGAGGAGTCCTGGTTTGATCTCTCTGCTGCCCAGCTTGACCGGCTACAGCTTCAACGTGTGCTCATCTGCTGCACGCACTGAGATGCGAGCACAGGGTCATGAATCTGAATAGACATACCACCGTCACTGAGAGTAACCAAAGCTGGACCCGGCGGGAGGGGCGGGGGCGGAGGCGGCGCGGGCTGTATTTGTTGGCGTTGTTGGGCAACTTCTTACTGAACTCGCTGTCCGATATACATCGCAGCAGAGGTGGGCGGTAGCGTCGGGGCCCGCTGCTTTTCGGAAACATGACGCGAATCACTATCTGTCTCAAAACACAAAGAACCCGATCACACGAACACAGCTGAATGCCAACAATGTGCCAGAAGCAAATCCGCATAATGGTCACCCTATGCCGGTTGACTCTGCTCATGCAGTCAAACCAGCCGGAAGAGCCAGACATTGCGTTTAGCTTCAGCTTTACAACTGCGAGAAGTGATCTGAACTTCCCTCGCTGCAAACATCAAAAAACATGCCGCAGGTATTTTTAGCTGTCACATCCGACGGTATCGACTTTGCAATATCGACCGTGCTAGTCGGGTAGCAGACACTACTTCCGACGGTGAGCTACGTACCATTGACAGAGCGTTTCTAGATCTTCACTTGCCTGACGTGTTGGCCAGCAGCACCTAACTACATTGACACATCTGCTCCGCAATCCAAACAACAACGTCCACTTTGAGGCAGCTGAACTCTGGTGGAGAAGTTGCCACCCCTCCGTTGGCTGCACGAACTTCACAGCTGCGCATTGAATCTGAACGTCAAATCCTAAAAAGACTTATCCTTCTTCATCTGCCAGGCAAATCGGGGGCAGGTACACATCAGGCGCAAGGAAAGCTATCCGGTTGTCCCCACACAGAGCGATCCTGCCGAAAAATTGGCTGGGCAGCGTTGTTATGCAAGATGTGCGAGAAAGCACGGTGCTCAAAATCTGTCACGACTGCATGACAAAGCGCTGGAGAAATTGGGCTTCCCATTGGCGAGCCCATCCGTTGCTCAAAGCCATGTCTCCCTACACGAAACATGTTGAACTTGAAAGAGCAATCCACTGCTTCGAGAATCAGCGCCATAGGGATGCATACATCTTTGCCACCGGCTCTACAAAGCTTACCTTTGAAAGCCTTCCGCATCATTTCTTCTTTGTCAAGACGAACCGTAACTCGTCTGCCAAAGCAGTGGGAAGTTCAGAAAAGAAAGCCACGTTGTAGAGAATGCTGATAAAAACGCCAGCAAGGTCTTGATTGAAGAGGCGCTGTTCTTCGCAGACTGTCTCTGTCTCTGGCACTGCATCGAGGTGGCGGTGCACGTCCTTCCAAATTGACAACGCATAATTGTACGTCTTGCAATGCGGGCAGTTTTCCAAGACCAAGAAATCAATAACTTTGGAGAGCCTCATCAGAAATTTCCGGGCGTGGTGGCAGCAGAATGAAATGATGGGGCGACCTGCCTTCCACGCCTTTTTATGCTTGGGAAGAATATACGACCAAGGTAACGCAGCATCTTTCTTCCGGAACTGAAACCTCATGCGAAAGCTTTCTCAATGTGCGCTGGCACGCAAGACTCCAACGTGGATAAGGCCTGTCCCACAATCAGGTCCACTGCACGAGACACCTCCTTATTTTGGAAAGTGTGACAGAGCATCATCGAACACTTTGTCCGACAGAACACATGAATATGGCCTGCTTGGTGGTCCCTGACATGCCACACAAGCGTAGGAAACAAAGACTGCAGATGCAGTACATCAATCACTGTCCACTTGCGCGCATCACGAACAAATTCGGACTGAATCTTGACTTCTTCATCCCACCACAGCCTCAAGGAGTCGTCATCCGGAAAGCGTACATGGTTTCTCTTGCACCATCGGTGCAAGGATGCTCGCAAACCCCCAAACAAGCTGGACACTGATGCGAAAACTTGGTTGTTGGCACTGGAAGAAGCGATGTCTCCCAACAAGCCGGTATCCCTAACTTGGATGCCGGAGAAGCAATGTGGCCATCAATTCAATCTCGGTCAGGGAAGAGCTCACTGAGACTCTGGCAATTGCATGGCAAGGAGTCAGTTCCATCTGGCTCCCAACGCTCCACAAGCTCTTTGAAATTAAAAAGGACGTCTTCGACATTTGGGTGCGCTTTGAAACCAATCTGCAGCTTTGGAATGTGAAAAGGCAACAAAGTTGCTTGGCTGTCTTGAAGCAACGTGCGCAACAACTTTCGAGTATCTGTTGGAAAAAAAGGATGTCCCATACCTCTAATGCACAAACTGCTGGGCTCATAAGGCACAGTCATCTTTCGGAAGAGCATGATCTTCTTCAGTCGCTTACGCACGCTTGTTTCACAATGCAGGTCACCCAGACTGCAGCCCAAACGGTACAGTTGGTAAATATGCAGGTCATCAACATGTCCACTGCGCAGAAGCTTCGCTGCCAAAAAGGATTGAAGACCTTCCGTGGCCAAATCAAAGAGGATCTGTAGTGAGAACATGGCGGCCCTCACGATGTTTGCATCCCGGAAAAGCCAGGCTGAATTGCGTAGCCTTTTCTGGCCATCTGTTTGTATCGGCGATGCAACCTGAAAGAGTACAAATGTCTGCGTGTACAAGTTCTCAGAGAACGCTTGCCTCGAAAAAGTTTGTTGATGAATGGCGCATTCAACGTCGGTCACCAGAATTGAATCCAGAATTGCTCAACTGCATGAAGGCATTGCTTCAAAGGGCAATGCATAAAGACGCTGGGAACTGCCAAGTGGTGGGTATCTGTCTTCAAATACCACAACGCCAGCTCTCCGACCACATGCTGTGAACGAACGAGCTGTCTATACTTGCCGAGACGCGTGCGCTCCCTGGACCCCAAAGTTCCAGTGGAAGACCTAACGTAAGTATGCCGCTTCAAATGCGGTGACGCGAAGATGCGCACATATACACAGTTGGATCTTTGGAAAAAATCCCAGGTGCAGAGGTCTGGTCCAAGATGACATTGCGACAGAATGTCAGACTGAAACACCCCAAAAGCATGGGTGAGCAAAAGTCACAAACCCCTCTGCCACAGAGCTACATCCATAGCCCAGGCACCCCGCTCCATGGGGTTTTGGAAAAAGGCCTCAAATGATTTTGCCGCACCAATGGCAAGGCGCAAAATGCACCTGTGATGCCGCCACAATTGACGAATAGGGCGACCATTGGCATGCTTCAGCAGCATCACTAGTCAAAGTGACATCTTAGAAGCAACTGCGACGATCTTCAAAAGTGGCTGTTTGAGCTTGGAGATCTCTCTCGCACTCCCCACTGGACCGCCTGATGGTCAAGCTTAGCCTGAGCTCCTGGGCTGAGAGAGTCAAACCAATTCTGCACGGATTGGATCCAGTTCTGTAGTTCATTGGACATCGCTTTCGAGAGCTTCAACTTGGAGATCCAAGCTTTCACTTCACGATCGTTCTTCATCTGCACCCATTTTTTACTCTCAGGAACTCGGATTTGGGCTTGTCCATGACTTTCTGCACATGCTCAACCGAACTAAACGCAGGTTCTGCAGCAGGCAACCCTCTATCGTTGACCCCATGGGGCGAATTGGCTGCTGCAGGACCACCCTCAGTTTTGTTCTTGGGAAAACTGAGGTCAAGCTTGATTGCATCTTTTCTTGTGGCTTTCCTCCGTCATTTGTGGTTGATGACCCAGGGGTCGTTTTTGTCAGGCGGGTCAAGGTCCAAAGGTGCACCACTCTGGTCTGCGACTCGTTGCAGTGGCGCTGTGCTTGGGGCCTGCGCAGTTTGGGTTGCCCTCTGTTGAGCTGCAACTTGCTTCTGTAATTCTTGAATGTGAGACTGCAACGCAGCGACACGATCCGACTCTTGGTTCCGCTGCGGCTGTAAGGATTGAAAGTGCTCTGCAACCTTGGTCGCCAATACTCCGGAGCACCGGTTCCCATCCCCCGTTTGCCCATCTTGCCGGGACACATGCTCTGCAATCACATCAAGGGAGACATGGTTAGATCGCAACGTCTGAAACAGACTATGAGCGAAAACCACTTCAGCGACATCTTTGAACATCAGCCGCACATGCAAACATACACCTACATGCGTGATGAGTCTGCAATTTCCACTGAAGTTGGAGGAACTCCGGTTCCTGTCCTGTGGGGATTTTGTCGGGTCTGTCATTCGTCAAGAGAAGAGGATAGGGAAAAACAACGACCCAGAAGGGAAGACACACAAGGAAGGACAGAGCCAGGAAGAAGAAAACGAAAGAGAAAAGGACGAGAGGGAACAAAAACAAGAACGGAAAGGAAAGGAAGAAACGAAGAAAGGAAGAAAAAAAGAAAAGAAAAAATGAATAAAGGAACCAGCACTGACCTACCTGTAGCTGACTAACACAACAGCTTGCCGAGGGCTTCACCTTTCACGGTGCTGACGACATGGCCCCCTGTGGGAAAGCAAATTGCAAAGTCTTGTTTGGCAGAGAGACTCATCAATGATGAAGTAAACTGCCGCTTCTTCACAACTTGTTGACACCGCACTGTACAATCTCATGACAAAGAAAACACGCAGGTACGTCGATGTGCGTCCACATCGATTTCAGCACTACGCTCTGACCCTCTTCGTTGGGCCAACAGTCAGAGCGAGTGGTTGGCCCCCCCGCGCGTCTTGGGTTCTCTTCTAAACTTTAACGCCGCCACTTCTCATCTCACTCAAGAGTGCATGCCGGACAAAATGTAAAACTAATCACATCAACTGACATGCTGAGCTTGAGCACCGCAAGTTCCATGCAAAGTGTTGTTTCTTCATGCAGACATGCACAAGTTTCACAAAAATGGCTGCGAGGACATGTTCGATGCACAACCTTCGCATGTACGGCAGAGATGCACAAACAACAGGAAATTCGACAGGAGTGACGGTTCTCATTTTTGACTAGGGTTAGAGGAGCTTGTTCCTCATTTCAAGAATGTTCTTCTTAGTACAAACGCCATGTGAAGCAGAGGCGTTTCTTAAGAGAGAGCAAACTTTATACATTTTCTCTGGAAAAGGGGTCCTTTGTTTCTGGGTAAAAATGGTCATCGAGAGTGTGAAGAGTGCTCTGGTTCTTCTGAAAACGAAAGCAAACTAATTCATTTCTATGGAAGATAAGAAGGGTTACTTCTTTGAAAGAATAATATTTTAAGGGGCTGCGCCCATGGGCGGGCAGCGCAGGCAGAAGCGCGGGGCGAGCAGTTTCTAAGCATTTTGAGGCCCCTAAACTCCCTTAAAATCTCTAAGCGTTTGAGGCTCCTCAACCCCCTCAAAGTTTCCAAGCATTTTCAGGCCCCTAAACTCCCTTCAAATCTCTAAGCGTTTGAGGCTCCTAGACTCCCTTAAGGTTTCTAAGCACTTTATAAGGCCCCTAAACTCCCCTTTTCCTAGCCCCGGGCTTAGACACATCGCTTATGCCCGCCCTTTGGGGGGCATCATGCTCCTGATGCGCCCCCGGGGTCCCGCCCCGGGAGCCGCTGATGCTCCTGATGCGCGCCTGGGGGTCCCGGGCTGGACCCGCTGATGCTCATGATGCGCGCCCTCTGGGGGCCTCCGTGGCGACGCAAAAAACCACGAAAAAAAAACCGTTCACCGGCGGCACGCGGGGGTCAGCGGCACTGGCGTCCGGCCTAAGTCTGCTTCGCAGAAGGCCAGAGGCCAGCAAGGCTATTCCCGGGACGACCCGGGCTAAAAGGTCCGCATTTGCTCGGTCCTTTGGGGACCTCGCGCTGCCCGATTTAATGGCTACCGCCAGTGCCGCCGACCCCTTGGAAGCAAACGCCTAAGCCCTAAACCCTGAACCCAAGCCACCATCCGCATCGTCGCCGTCCTCTTCGCACAGCGCCTGGGCCTCGGATGGTAGGCAGTAGATGCGGCTGCGCGTGCGCCGCGCAGGAGTTCTAGTGAGCCTGTATTGTAGGCGGCTGCGCGTGCGCCGCGTAGGATCAATGTAGGCGTATACGTACACTAGTGCGGCTGCTCCTGCGCCGCGTAGGAATAGGCCTGTAAGTGCGGCTGCGCGTTCGCCGCGTAGGAGTAGACCTGTAACTGCGGCTGCGCACGCGCCGCGTAGGAGTAGGCCTGTAACTGCGGCTGTGCGTGCGCCGCGTAGGAGTAGGCCTGCAAGTGCGGCTGTGTGTGCGCCGCGTGGCAGTATATAGCACTGGAGCCCTTAAAACACTCCATTACTATGCGGGAGGGGGTTGGGCAGCCACCAAGAAGTGGAGGCCAGGGGGCAAGGGGCGCGGGGGCAGTGGGGAGAGCAGCAAGAGCAGCAAGGGGAAGGCTACGGGGCAGCGGGGGAGGAAAGGGCGGGAAGGGTAGGGGCAGCAAGGGCAGCGAAGAAGAAGCGGGCATGCACTGAAACCCTTAAAACACTCCATTACTAACAGCAAGGCAGCAGGAGGGTTGGGCAGGCACAAGAGGTGGAGGCAAGGGGCCAAGGAGCGTGGGGTCAGTCGGGAGGGCGGCATGCACTTAAGCCCTTAAAACACCCATTCGGGAGGGGGGGGGAGGGGATTGGGCAGGCAAGGGGAAGAGGGTGGGGGGGGGGCAAGGGGCGCGGGGGCAGTGGGGAGAGCGGGGGGAGGGGGGGGAAGGCTCCGGGGCAGCGGGGAGGAAAGGAGGGTTGGGCAGGCACAAGATATGGAGGCAAGGGGCAAGGAGCGTTGGGGGCAGTCGGTTCGGGCATGCACCCATTACTGGGCGGGAGGAAGCAAGGGCAAGGGGCGTGGGGGAGGGTGGGGGTGGGAAGGGCAGGGGCAGCAAGAGGCTCCGGCAGCGTGGAGGGCGGCGGGGGTGGGGGGGCGGGAAAGGGCGGGAAGGGCAGCGAAGAGGAGGCTCGGGCATGCACTGGAGCCCTTAAAACAGTCCATTACAAACAGCAAGGCAGCAGGGGGGGTTGGGCAGGCACCAAGACGTCTCGGGCATGCGCTGGAGCCCTTAAAACACTCCATTTCTTGCCGGGAGGGGGGGGGGAGGGGGTTGGGCAAGCTGGAGGCAAGAGAGCAAAAAGTGCGGGGGCGGGCAAGGCAGGGGCAGCAAGAGCTCCGAGGCAGCGGGGAGGCGGAAAGGGCGGGAAGGGCAGGGGCAGCAAGGGCAGCGAAGAAGAGGCTCGGGCATGCACTGGAGCCCTTAAAACACTCCACTACTAACAGCAAGGCAGGGAAGGCTCCGGGGCAGCGTGGAGGGTGGGGGGGGGTGGGGGGAGCGGGAAAGGGCGGGAAGGGCAGCGGCAGCAAGGGCAGCGAAGAGGAGGCTCGGGCATGCACTGAACCCCTTCAAACAGTCCATTACTAACAGCAAGGCAGCAGGGGGGTTGGGCAGGCGCCAAGACATCTCGGGCCCATTTCTTGGCGGGAGGGGGGGGGGAGGGGGTTGGGCAAGGTGGAGGCAGAAGAGCAGCGGCAAAGGCAAGGCTCCGAGGCAGTGGGGAGGGTGGGGGGGCGGAAAGGGCGGGAAGGGCAGGGGCAGCAAGGGCAGCGAAGAAGAGGCTCGGGCAAGCACTGGAGCGCTTAAAACTCCATTACTAACAGCAAGGCAGGAAGTCTCGGAGGCAGCGTG